GTAATAACCTCACCCACTCACAGAGAACTCTCTTTTCGCTGGATCAGTCAATGGGAATGAAGAGGACTCTTGCTTTCACGGAGCCTTTGTAGCCCCCCTGAGTCCATTTACTTTGACTGCCTCTGTCCTTATAGCCACGTTATGATGGTTTCACTTGCCTGACTGACTGTATATTAATGATAATATATACAGAAAGTCACCCGTGAACTGTGTACACTTTTAAGGCTTGTGCCATGGTTTTTGGGGCCATTCCTGTCTTCTACAAAATCGATGTTACACTATATTGCAATGCCAAATGTGTTTTAAAGGACAGGTTTTTGCTTCCTGGATTTAGTCTGCCCTTAAAATATTTGTTTTAATGTGTAGCCTATAAAAGCTAAAGCCAGAACATGGTTAACCTAGCTTAGCATATCCGTTGGAAGCTAGCTAGGCAGTGGCTAAAGCTCTTCCTGCACAGATGTTTCAAGTTAAAGTCTTTCTTTCCCTTTTTTTTCAGAATATACTTTACAACTAATCCTTATTATTTATTGCGGGTCAAAGGAAAACTAGTCCTCTATTGCTTCACATTGTAAACCTCTTATATGACAGTGGGGAGATTAAGTAGTTGCAGAAAGTGTACAGAAGGTATTCAAATAATTGTTTAACACCAAAAATATGCTTATTTCTGCTTTATTTCTGAAAGTATCAATTCTTATGTCTGTGTTTAAAGTAGCCTTCAAAGCTAGAGTCAGAACATGGTTAGCCTAGCTTAGCATATCCGTGGAAGCTAGCTAACCAGTAGATAAAGCATTTCCTGCACAAATGTTACACTATCCAGTTTTTCCTTCTCATTTTTTTGGAATATAGGGACAATACTTATCCATATTTATTGATTTGCAGGTCAAAGGAAAACTAGTCCTTCCCGTTTGAACTTGGTTCTTTGGTCAATGTGAGGCACTGAGTAGTTAAGCAGTGTATAGCACATTTGATTCTTCCTATATAATTAATGGTTGAAAACACAATTGTGGAGGTGTCTTGTTAGCATCAGCAGTATAGGAGGTCTGGAACAGAGCCAGCCTAGGCTCATATTGCTTGTCTCTAAAGAAAGTATGTGTAGATATACTGTACAGTTTATCAACAGTTCTGCTGCTGCCAAGCTTCAGTGCTGCACGGTAGCTGCACGGTAGTGTTTGGCTGTTTTTCCAAAGACAAAGGATGGAGAATAAAGGTATTCGATTTAAATTTGATCAAAAATGGACTATGAGTTATTACTTAGTACACTAAACAAAGACACAATTGTACTCATGCTCTGTTAGTAAAACAATGATGCAACATAGCCTACAAAGGCAAACAAATCCCTTTAGCAATATTATCCCTGTGTGTGAGTGAGACGAGAAGTCTGTGTAGTCTGGCTGTGTACAGCTCAGTGTGATAAGCACTGTAATCTAACTTAAGTAGTAGCCTGGCTAATTATTATTGTAAACAGGCAATGAGAATCAGAAGCTAAGAGATACTCTGTGTTCAGCATCAGCTGCAGTATAAATCACAAGTGTGGGACACGTTCCATCCATTTGTTCCTATGTATTCATTTTCAGGTGTGATTTTGGAAAGTAAAATAATGCATGAATCCAAACCCTAACTCCGAACACATTGGTCCTTTTTGGTTTCCAGGAGTTAATATATTTTTGTGTAACAAAAGGCCTTATGTTTGTAGGCCAAATGTCCTAATACTAATGCAAAAAGCACATTACATGATAATAATTGTATAGGGTACCCTCCGGCTCCCGATGCCAGAGAGCCGAGCTTTGGCTAGTGCTAAATGGACTGCATTTATATAGCGCTTTTCCGGTCTTTGCGACCCCTCAAAGCACTTTTACAGTACATATACAATCAGCATGAACCCATTCACACACATTCATACAAGGTAACACCTGGTCAGGGAAACTCACATTCACAAACACTAACATATTGTGGCTATCAGGAGCAATTCAGGGTTAAGTATTTTGCAAACGGACACATCACCTTGATGACTGCAGCTGCTGGTTCTGAACCACCGACTGACCAATGGCAGGATGACCTTCTGAAAAGAATAGGAGCATCTATTCTTTTCTGTTTGTCCATAGAAAACACACCACTGAAACAGCTAAGATAATCAAGTCACGAAGCACATGGAAATACAACATGCTCAACTGATATAATATGCCTTATGACACACAAACAAAATTGACAGTCGTCAGCTTCTCATTTGCAGCATGGGGCTGACATCACTTGCCGGCTGAGGGAACTTAGTTTCCTCATGTTTGCACAGAGCCACGAGTAATTGGAGGACATCTCATGGTTGTCTGCTGCAGCACTTCACAGACTTCAAAGCACTGCTAGGCTACACCTAACAGAGACACCCCACCCCCCTCCTCTCTGTCTCCATTCAGACGCTCTTCTCTGTGACAGAAAACATCTTCCTCCACCCCCCACTGACTGTATCAATCAATGTTTATTTATATAGCCCAATATCACAAATGTTACATTTGTCTCAGTGGACTTCACAGTTTGTACAGAATATCAGTATGACAATACGACACTCTCTGTCCTTAGACCCTCACATCGTACAAGGAAAAACTTCCGGAGAAAACCCCACAGTTTAAAGGGAAAAATGGGAGAAACCTCAGGGAGAGCAACAGAGGAGGGATCCCTCTCCCAGGAAGGACAGACGTGAAATAGATGCCGTGTGTAAATTGAAAAGATAATACATTTGCAACATAGGTAGTCCAAATGTTTGGAAATGCATGTGTGTATAATAGGAAGATGAATCCACGAGGATATCCATCCAGGACTTATNTCATGATGAGGTTCAGGTAAAGCACGGTTAATGTATTATATTAGTGAGGAAGCCCACAGTGATGGCCAGTAGTGTTTTTTCTTTAGCCCCGGACAATTCTTCCTCACTAATATAATACATTAACCGTGCTTTACCTGAACCTCATCATGAGAGTACGGAAGAATTGTAATTTCCCGTGTTCAGTGAATGCAACAGAGGAAAGACACCAGACCAACCAGAGAGTTGAATGGAAATAACTCTGTTTTATTGGCTGACAGGTACAATGTTTAAACTGTCAGTCGGACTCAAGAGTTTTTGAAGATGGACATAAGAAAATGTTTTCTAAAAAAAGACGACAATTCTCAAGTGGTGGCTCACACAACAACCCCAGAGCCACCACTTGAGCCAGGTAAACAAGGTATGTAAGTGTCAGTAAACTTCCAAGTTATGCGAACATGTAAGCAAAGCATAAATTACAGCTACATTGACGTTACTTTTAATCGCGTGGGTAAGCTAAACCATTNCCCCCGTTCGCTTTGCATGAAGAGCGGTTACGTCAGCCAGCCGAGCCGCTAGTGTCGCTGTAGAGCATTTCTAGATACACAGACGCCGGTGTCTTCTTCTCGCAGTGAGTGCGAAGCGGTTCAGGAGAATGGCGGCAAACATTAACCACACTGGAGAGGGTCTTCTCTACCGCCGGAGATATCGGCCCAATCCCAAACCACTCCCTCGACCCTACCCCTCCGTGACGGAGTGAACTCCGTCTGTAGCCACACTCGCAGCTCAACGAGGCTCCCTCCTGTCAGATGGAGGGAGTAAATACAGCAGCAAGCTTTGGGACGGCCTCCCCTCTCTCCGGCAGAAACAGGAAATGCCGTAACTGTATGTAACAACGGTTTCAAATCAGCATCTCTTTGACAAAAAATGTAAATGAATAACTCAAATAAAACTCCAAACATCTTTCATTGTGTTTCAAAGCTCTTTTAGTTTTAAACCTGATGTTTATAAGCTTCTTAGTTTTTGCAACAGTCTGTAAATATACACAACCTTATAATAATATACATACTAAACACAGGTATGATCCTAAGTTAAAAACATATGAGGTTATCATGAGGTTGTTAACATCGCAGTTTATCAGTGGATAAATGGAACTACTTGTTAACAGCTTGTTTCCTGACGGACACACACAGCGTGACTCCGGTCAGGTAGAGACCGGTCTCAAGTCAGCACCGCTGCAGACTCGCTGTTTGAGGGCTTGATAGCCCCTTCCCCCTCCACACCGCTCCACACTCGTTGGTTTGGAACAGCCCTCAATATGGCGGACCCTCCGCGTGAACGCTCAAACGGAGGGGTAGGGTGTAGGGGGCGGTTTGGGAATGGGCCTTAGGGTCCAGGTTGAACCCCGCCTCTACTCAATGTGAGCTAGGATTTGATCCAGTAAAAAAAAGGTTAAGTCAACCAAGAACAGCTAGATTTACAGAGTTAAGACGATATCATCCACAGTAAGGATTTGTAATAGTATTCCAGTTCTAAATTAGTTTTTCAGTTATTGTCCTGCTTCCTATATGTAATTTTGAACTGCATTTCTTTAAAAAGGGTTGGTGGTTATTGTCTGTAACACATGGCACATGAAATGTTTTGCAGAGGAACGGGAAGTGGTTGTATGGATGAATGCAGTGTGAAATAAAAGTACCATCAATGATTATTGATCATTGACCAGCAGCATGGCATACTACTTAAAGAGATTGCACCTTACTGGAAATGTGGTTGGTTTGATTCCTGCAACAATTTCCCTAAATTAACTACGACAACAAAGTGTTTAATCAAGTAAACACTTTGCTGCTAACCCTAACCCCAGGAGAGCAGTGAAAATGAAATAGTACAGCACAATTCCAGAGCAAATGAAGAAATCACATGAAATGAAGGCTAAAGTGTGCTCTATGTTTGAACACAATGACACGTTCCTACTTAAGATTAACAGCTGGCACTGAAAGCTTAAGGGAGGAAAGTCAATTAAATTTGAAGATAGGACAGAGCATTGAATAACTCTGTGGCTAATGTATTTCTATGTATCTTTCTTCCTTGGTTATTTAAAAAATGTCTGTATTTCTCATTTAGAGAAATGAAATGTAATCGGCCTAAAGCATTTCCAGGTATAAAAAAAGTGATTTTCTGTCAAGAAAGAATTAAATCGTAGCAGACTTACGGAGGGAGTGCCACTCGTCCTGCCTTATTGTCTTGGAGATGTTGGGGGAGATGTTTTTAGGTATCGTAGCCGAGGAGTAGTGATACTTGATGTAGGAGCACCTTGTAATGGAACCTGCAAAGAAAAAACAATTGTATTTACTTTTCAATAGAGAAAAATCACTGAGTCATGAGTTATTACATAAGATCCCCACTGGTGACACACAGAGCAAGAATGAAGATAGCTTTATTCCACAGTGTCATCAGCTGACGAGGCTATGTTTGCAGATATTAATTATACACTGACACTGACAAATAACTCTTCTTTCCCGAAACAATAGCAATCTGCTGTTGTATGAGTGTCTTTTGTTTGGGGTCTGAAAAACACTTCCAACACGTTTTTCTATTACAGTGACTAACACAAGGCTTTTAGAGAAATGATGTGTTCTTCAAAAGTTATTAACTAATCAGTCAAGGGAGCTGTTCAGTGTATAATTATAAAACTCTCTGAGAGTCCCCTGGCTGGGTGATGTGTGCAGGATAGATGAAATTACTCATTGCTGATGTAGACCTGAGTCAAACTGACGGTCACAAAGATGTCTGAATGAATGGAGAGACACTGAGATGTAGAAATACTGAAGCACAATGGTGGAACAACAATAAATGTTTTCTAAGGTTCAAAAAGACAGCATTGATTGTTTTGGTCCAACACTTATAAACACTTGGGTTTACACTTGCCTGACAAGAGATTGTGTGAGTAATGACTGCTCTCTCTGTTTTATTATGCGTGATTCAACATGCATGGCATCCAAAAGATGTTAAGTTATTCCAGTCAGGACCGTTAAAGTGCCACTGATAAAGCCATACTAAGATCCACACTGCTAGCTAAAAGACTAAAAACCACTCATTATGGT